ATTTTATTTATTCTTCTTTTCAATTGTATTAAAACTCATAAATATTATGTCAGAAATATCACAAACATTAAATAAATGAATATTTTAAACCACAAATTCTCTTCTAACATAGACATTTACTTTATTAAGATAATTCCAATTCATTATCAAATGATTTGTGGTTATTCATATTAATTCAATGAATATTATATTGAATAGTATTTTTCTATTCATTATGTTTATTGTGTTTTATTTCTATTTTATTATTTCTGATTAATTCAAATCAATTCTCATCAAATTATTGTTAATTGAATATTTAATTAATCGTATTAATATGAATGAAAGAATAATGTTATAAATATTAAAAATGAAATGATGAAAATGTTTGAATAACAAGAAAGTTATTTAATAATAAATTAATTAATGGATATTGTGTTATTCAATTTCAAATGAAAATCAATCATTTATTTATAATTTGATTATTGTTATGAAATAATAAATAATATTTCTAATATTAGAAATATTCCTCATTTTTATTAAAACTTAAAAAAACAAAATTTCTAAAATAACAACAAATAATGACACATTTAGAAAATGTCTTTTTAAAGAATGTTTTATTGTATTTACCAACATTAAAAGATGTAAGGAGATTTGCACAAGTAAGAAATCATGTGAAGAAGCAATCAATACGATTTATGTCAATCCATATGAATTAACAATCCATCATTCATTTGATGAAATTATTCCATTATTTCCTAATTTACAAACATTTTATGTTAGAAGATGTTCATCAAGATTATACAAAATAACAGCAAATGATATTCCACTTATTGAAGTAGGAGGATGGAATGAACAATCCAAACAAACACAAGTGTTTAACACAAAATGGTTTTGTTCCAAAATAAGGAAAATACGAATAGATGGATATTATTGTAAAAAAGTAATAGAAAAACATCCAAATTATTTTATTCAATTACAAGAATTAGTTGTTATGAATGGAATTAATATTAATGCATTAATACAATTATTTGAATTACCAACATTAAAAAAGTAATTATTATTTGTAGTATTGGTGAATTTCAACTTCTTTCAAAGTCATTTGATTTTAATAAACATAACAAAATCAATTTCATTATTATTTTTATTATTACATATTCAAACACTAACATATTAAATCAAATGGATTATAATCAATTCATTAATTGTAGATTTTACACATGAACAATTAATAAATCAACAATGAGTTTTCCTTATTTACCAATATTACCATATGAATCTCAACTCTTAATAGATAATTGTGATATGACTATTGAAAATGATGTATTAAATAAAATCAATGAAATCAATGAAATAATCATAAAGAACAATTTACAGAATATTTTAATTGAAAATGTTTTAAATGATTATGAAGGAAGTCGAATTGATTTAACATCATTATCAATTGAATCATTATCAATACAAGACGTTGAAAAACAAAATGTTGATATTATCATTCCTCCACATTTAAAATCATTAATAATTAAAAATTGTAAAGCATCAATTGATATTTCAAAATGTCACTTAAAAAAGATAATAATATCTAATTATCAAGGAAAAGTAATGGATATATATGATGATAAATTAGAAGTATTTCAAAATAATTCCAATGAAGAAGTAACATGGTATCATAACAATACATTACTTAAGAAAAATGAAATTTATTTAGATACAAATAAAATTACTTCATTCAAATTACCTCATTTCTTTATATTCACAAATATTCTAACTAACGATGTTGATAAATTTAAAACATTCATTTTTTAAATATAATGATAAATAAAATATATTCAATCAAACTCAATCGTTTTAATTAATTAATACATAGCATTTTATCTTTTTCTACTTCTTCAATCCTCTTTATCATTTCTTCTTTTTTTCTCTTTATCTTCTTCTCTTCTTTCTTTTGTTTTTTCTTATTTTATCTTTTATTCTTAATTCTTTTTCAATTCTTTTGTTTATTCTCATATTATTATTGATTAAACATTCTTCATTCAGTAGTGTAGTTATGATTATACTAATTACTTTTATATTTATTATAATTGTGTTTTAAATGATAGTTGATCATCACATTTATAATCAAAATAATTATTATAACATAATTATTGAATATTATTTGTTTGATAATGACTATAATTGTATCTATAATACTGTCAAATAAATCTATTAGTTTGTGTAAATTATTTCTAAGTGATTTTCGTTGTGTGTTGTCTTGTAGAAATAGATTTTTAATAAACAAATGAATTAATTCAATGAAATAACACAAATAAATTGTTTATTTATTTTATTTTATTTCTATTTCTTATTTATTTTATTATTTATTAAAAGCACCCTCATTAGATGTGAATATTTCAAATGAAATAAAATAAATCAACATTAAATTATATCAATTTTTAATTTACCATTTCATTCATTGGCAGATGAATGAAATGAAATGGTTGTTTATATTCTTCATTGTTTTGATTTTATTCTTTTTTATTTCATTTTCAATTAAATCAAGATTGAATCATTTCATTTCAATTACTATGATTCGTTTTGGTGTGAAATTATATTTTCCACAAAGTGCATTTCTTACTCCTTTATATTCAAATGAACGTTGATCACAAAATGATTTTGTTTTATTATTTTCTTTATAAACATGAATATCACAAAAATATCCAAATCCAAATGCAAACAAACAATCATCTGATTGATTATGTAAAATAAATGCATATTCAGGATATTTAATATCAAATTTCTTCATTCCTTTTATTCTTCCATTTGATTCTAATGAAAATAAAAATGACTTTGAATCATATATCCAACTACCATCTTCATCAATTTTAGAATTAACATATCCTCCAAATTTATTTCCTCTTGAATCTTCAATAATAATTATTATATATTCTTTATTTATTATTCTTTCTCCAAATACTGATGTTCCATAATTCCAATCATCAATATTTGAATCAAATAGTATATTTGATATTATTCTGTTTGTTATATATTTAAGGTGTTTAATTGTTTTATTTATTTAATCATTAACAATTTTATATGTTGATGTTTTTGTTCATATTTTTCATATTCCATCTTTTCTATTTCATACTTTAAATTCATTTTAAACTAACTTTTAATAAACAATTGAATAAAAATAATAAAATGATTAATAAACAATATAAACAAATAACTTTTAATAATACTTCAGTTTATTTGTCAATCACATATTTTATCTTATTGTTAATTTAATGAAAAATATTTCTATTTAAATTTTATATAAAAAATATATATTCTAATAATTCAATCAATAACCATTTATCTTCTTCAATTTTCATTTATATAGTACATCCATCAAAACAAGAGTGATAATTATTAAATTTAATTATGATAAATTTAATTAATTCTTTGTTAACGTGTTTAAATATTGAACAATGATATTTTAAATTATTTTAAACATTTAAATAGTACATTAATTTATCATTTATGCATATCATTTGAATGGATGATAAACAGATTTAAAATAGAATCTATAATTTTGGATTATCAATGAATTTAATTTTCTAAATAGAATTGAATATAATTGAAATTGTTTCTTTAATATTCAAAGAAAGAACAATGATTGAATTACTATTCAATTTCCATTTTAACAAAAATAATATTTGTTTATATAACAAACAGATATAGTTTAATTGATACTCATAGTAATGATATTATAAAATAGTATTAAATTTATAAAGATGGTTGAACTTATTAAAATTAAATGAATTTATATTGATGCAGTTAAATATTACTATGTCAACTAATCATAATAGTAATTTAATGAAGTTAATATTATTTATATATTTCATTTAAATATAGTTATCGTTATTATTATCATATTTATTGTTTAAATATTCATGATAATTATGATGTATAAAATAATAGAACTTTTCATGTTTTTCTCAAATTCAAAACTACACAAAATCAACAACTATAGAATAAAATCAGTGTTGTATATTTTTTTAATGAACTTTTTCTTTTTGTTTGTTTATTTCTTGATTTATATTTCTCTTATTAGATGTATTTATGAAAACCATAACGAATAACTTAAATTACATCGAATGTTTTGTGATTGTCTTACACGTCTTTTTCTAAAATATCTAATACTACAATACACCCATTCTCTATATGTATTAACATAATTTATGTATGATATAATCTTTATTTTCTTTCATTTTTCTTTCACTTTATTAACAATTGATTCTAAACAAATACAAATACACTCTTCATTCATTTTTATCATACCATATTTAAATAGATAGAATTGATAGAATGAATTATTAATATAATTCGTTATCTATTTCTATCAGATTTATTCAAATTATTTTCAACACCATTGAAAGAGATATAACCAATGTTTGACATTTGCATCAAAGTGTTTTTCATTATTTGAGTATTATTGAATATCAATGATAAACAATATCAACTAAGAAACAAATGATATGAACAAATTTTTATTAAAATAATTCATTAACAAAACATAAATCAAACGATTTATTACTCAATTAAAAAACGAAGAAAAGAGCAATGGCAATGAATGCAACAATGGTAGCAATTGATCCATCATCATTAGGTTTATTCTGACATTCATCTTCACATTCATATTTAACGTATTTATCACCATTTGATTGTGGAACACACATTCCGCATTTATACATTTGAGCTCCAAATCCAAGTTCTTCAGTACAATTTTCATCTTTATAATAAAATACTCCAAAGTATCCAACTTTATTTTCTGATTTCATATAAAATTCAGTATTACTTACTTTATTACAATTCTTAGTTGAGACATTACAACTATATCTAACCATATTACTTGTTACGTTAGTACATTGATCATCTGAATATACTTGATTATTAATTAAACTACATTCATCACCCATTTTATCTGGTTCTTCATTATACAAATAAACTAATCCAGTAGTACTTGAACTAATGTCTGCTTTCTTAGTAATATCCTTAGAATCTTCTGTTGGTTCATCACCAGAACAATCAGTAGTAGTATAGGAAATGATTTTGATTTGTGCTGGTGCATTGTTTTTAGCTGGGACATAAGTTACTTTTTTGGAGCTTGTGTTCTCGAAATAACATTTTCCATCTTCATAAACAGTAACCACTTTAAGTTTACTATCACTGTAAGTACATTCATAAATATTTTCAGCAGCAGCAAAAGCAGTAAGTGCTAATAATGCAATGAACATTTTAATGTTTATATTTTCTAAGTTCAAACGTTTATATTTACCATCACCTAACTTCACTTTTTCTCATTTGGTTAAAATAAAGTACGAAGAAAAAAATCCTTTTAATAAAATGTATTATAATTCATTTGATTGGCTAATAATTTATTAATACATTTACTTTTTTGACTCATTTGTAGTTTTTTTTTTGTTAATTCCACTTCTATAAAGTTCTTTACTCATTTTATTTTTTTTGTATATTCCTTAGTTTTGAGTGCAAAGGAAAGAAACGAATTGAAATTTAATGAAATGAGGAATAAAAGAAGAATTAATAACATGAAAAATAAAGAATTTGTTATTAAAATAAAAAGTATTTCAAATGAAAAAAAGTCCGAAAGAAAAAAGAGTTATTTAAACTTGGAGAAAATAAACTTACAACAATACAATGATTGGTTTATTGATTGTCTTTGTAGTATTTGCTTCAGCTAAAGAATTTTATAAATACAATTATGTTGGAACAGGAGATGATAAAAACCTTACCTCATATTCAGTTTTTGAAGTTGATAAATGCTATAGAAGTTCTACAACTACTTATCAATCAATTTCACAACATAATGGAGAAGCTACTGCTAATGAAGGAAAATACTTCTATGGTACATTTACAGATAAAGAATGTAAAACTTCTTCTGATGTTAAACAATATACTGTTGAAGAATTAAAAGGAATTAATATCTATGAAACAAAACCAGAAGAAAGTAATCAATGTAAAGAAGTTGCTGCTAGTCAATTTGCTGATGATAAATGTGAAGATCCAATTCCAGGTACAAAACAATTTGTATGTAATGTAGCAAGTGATGTTAAAACATGTACTAGCAATGGTAATGACTATATACAAATAGAAGTTGTTCATGGATATCAAGGTACTTTCCATTATTCTGATAGTGAGTGTACAAAATTCACAGGATTTGTAGAAAATCAAAGAAAATGTGGAGTTTGTTCACCATCATCAATGCCATCTTCACCAGATAAAACAATTACTTACACAAAAGTCACATGTGAAAATGACTGCTAATTAAGTAAGTTTTTCTTAAAGATATTTTAATAAAAAAGAAGGTATTCAATAAAATAACAAATAAATTTTAATAGAAATAAAAGTATTTCAATTGTAAAAAAAGAATAAGTAATAAACAATAAGAATTACATTGGATTATTACTTTTTAATTATACAATGTAATTCTGTTCAATAAATATATTATAACATAACTAAATAATAAAAATATATTTTATTTAACACTACAAATAATTGTTTATTAATGAATATATCAACTGCTATTTTATTATCATTGTTACAACTATGAAATTAATCAATACGATTATAAACTGTTCAAAATATTACTTTTTCTTTTTTCTCTTCATTTTCCTGTTTTGAATATCCAACAAATATAAATAAAGAATTACTATTTAAAATAACACTGACAAACAATTATCAACAATTTTCAACAGAGAGAATATGGAAATACTTGAAATTTAAATGACATTATGAGAAATACTACAAATACAAATTAATTTTGTTCA